AGCTTGGAGGGGGAGGCGAGGGCGGCCGCTTCCAGTCTCGCCGTGGCAGCCCCTTGAGATCAGCATTTCAGAGTGTTTCAGCATTCGGTTCCGTTTGGTTCAGGGCTCAGGCAGGAGAGGTCTTTACAAAGGGGAGCGGGTCCACAGGTCCTGGGCATCCTCTACTTCATTGCTTTTGTCCTCCTGTGCCCAAGCTGCAGTCCTTCTCGGCCTGGGCTACCGGAAGGGTGCGATCTCCGAGGTGCCTGCCCGCTTTCCGAGGTCACCACCTCCCAGTCGGCGCTGTCGGGTGGGAAGCCGAGCCCGACCGCCGCGGACCTGCCTTCCCAGGCGCGCGGGGCCGCGAGCCTCGGAGCCTCGGAGCCTCGGAGCCTCGGAGTCGAAGCTTCGGTTGTGGGAGGCCGACGTGCAGAAGCTCCTCGAGGAGCTCGAGGCCGAGGAGGCCCCAAATCCTTTGAGGGAGGAGTTGTTTGCGAGACTTGGGGAGGTTAACTCCGGAAACGCCGGGAAGACCGAAACTGCCGAGAACGGTTTGGCTGCAGAGACTTTCAGGAGTCCACCACCGAAGCCCTCGGTGGCTCGGTCCGTAGTTGTTCCGATCTTTGCTTGTTCACTTCACGTGGGGCCCACACAAAAGGGCCAGGGATCGGGCTTGAGTCGCACAGCCGAGGAAGTAGCGATCAAGCGCTTCCATGAGAAGATGCAGTCTGCCAGTGTTTAGTTCCTGCTCTTGCTCTCCGGTGAATGCCCGGCCCGTTGAACGAGGGAGAGGCACCGGGAGAAAGGGGCTTTGGGGGAGCAGAGTGCTGTAGCACGGGTTTCGGGGCTTCGCCTGTGACAGTCAACAGGGGCACACTTCTCGGACATCCACGGCTTTGAATGGCATGGTACAAAGGGCTCCTGACGGTTGTGGGCACGACGAACCAATCAGCCAGTCGAAAAACCTGAACAAATTTCAGCTTGTGTTTTGTCAGTGGAAGGTCCAAGTCGAAGCCGCCTTGGCAGGTCTTCAGAGGCAGCAGAAGTGCGCCGGAATGGGATGGCCAGGCGCCCATGGACACGGACTCTGGGAAAGAGATGTGCCGAACCACGGTGCCTCTTGTCAACATGCTGCTCCGCCACTACCCCCTTTAACTGACACGCGCCTCTGGCTTGATTTTCCAGGTCCGTGAATGACCGGGCTTTCCTTGTTTACCCAGGGCAGGCGAGGGGGTAATTGATCCACTTCTCAACGTCAATCCGAGTCCCGAAGGGACTCAGATCGTCGCGAGGTGCCGTGCTTTGAGCGTTAGATGCGAAGGACCGCCGACAAAATCGGAGGCGCACTGAGCGCGAACTCCAAGACTTGAAACCCACAGTTCCGACTGCGCAATCTCGGCATTAACGTTGAGCTTAAGGTTCGTCGTCTCCTCGGCATTGCAGGGAGTAGTTGTGATACCGTCGCAAGTTTCTGGGCTCAAGACCTATGCGCTTCTCTCCGAATTTTTTTTATAAGCCTCTAGCGGCCATGTGGCCGATGCGGCATTGGCTCGGAATCGCTGCGGCTTTGCAGTGCGTGTCTTGTAGCGAGATCAAGGCACAAGCAGCGGAGCACGGTGGGAAACGTTAATAAAGTGTTCATCAGCTTGTCCCATTCCCGGCCCTCCTGGCACAGGTCGCAGGATCCTCCACAGTGTTCCCAGTCGCAAACGGGTGGGCGAACGCCATGGAGAACGCCAGCAACATTACGATAACCATCGAAGGCGGCATGGATTCAATTCATGGGAACTAACCAAGTCGGAATTGGGGTGACCCCTTTGCTGTTGACCTTTGTCTCGTGTGCTTTGGCCCATCCCGCTTTTGGAAGCTTCGTGCAAAAGCTGAGGGGGTGGCTCCAGCTCTGGCGCACGGCGTGTCTGCAAGGATCGTACGGATCCTGACCACGCGGCTCGGTACATGACGACCCAGGGAACTCAGCGATTTATGCTAGGTGAAGGTCGTTGTGGCGACGTTTGACTTCAATGAAAGGACGGCCATTGTCCGCCTCGATGTAACGAATGTTTGTCGATCTCGGTTTTCCTGCAGTGCGGTCTGCATCTTTCGGTGAGGTCGACATCGGCGACATGTCGCGCAACTGGAAAAGCAGCGAAGCCCTCCTGCTGGACGATGACTATACGTGGGCTTGGCGAACATTTTCGAGTCTGAACTGAGTTTGACGTGAAAAAGCCTTTGATTTGCGGGCAAACACCTCCTTCCCTGGCAAACGCACCAGAAGCAGAGCCTTTCTTGACCTG